AAAAAAAAAAAAAAAAAAAAAAAAAAGCTTCACAAATACTACGCCCAGTCCTACCCTGTCCGATGAAACACCTAAGATTATTGCAAATCTGGGTAATGGCCCCAGTTTTTCTTGGGAGTATTGTGCGGTTTCTTGGCCCTGGTTCCTCTTGATTTTTTAGCAATATAAGAGATGCGTATGGTTCTTCCCCCCCCCCAAAAAAAGGGTAGGCTACCAGAGTGTTGTTGTTGTTGTTTTCAACAACCAAAATCGACCATGCCAACAGCCAATACGCGTCACGGTAGCTGACCCAAAAGACACGTAGAAGTCCGACAGAAAGATAAAGGGGAAGATTCTGAAGAAGAAGAAGAAGAAGAAGAAGAAGGTGATGACAAATCCAACGCAAGTAGGTAAAAACACCCCGAACCTAGCTCATAAGATTTTAGTGAAAAACATGAATAACGTGTGGCCACTTGCCCGGCTGGGCCAAAAAGAAGAAGAAAAAAAAATAATAAATAAATATTATGTTTTAATTCAAATTGTTATTTTAAATTTGGTAAAGAATTTCCATGTGTCCCTGTGAGGCAAAAGGACGACATGTCCTGCCTTTTATTGAAAAAAAATGAAAACAAGAAATGTTTTATCTTTTCTTTGCTATTTCTTTCAGCTTATTTTTCTGCATACCATAGTTTTTTTCCGGATTTTTTTTTTTTTTTTTTTTTTTTTTTTTTTTGGCTGGGACCTTCCCTCTGGTCCTTGCACGGCCCGCCCTCCCCGGAAAATAGGGTGACCCGGGCGGCCGGGCTGGTAGCCTGGAAGAAAAGAAAACAAGAATTTCAAACTGAAAATAGAATCAAGGGACTACTGAAAACTAAGTAACCCTATAAATAGACTAACTTAAAGTAAACTAGTGAGAGGATGAGATAGATGTGTACTACCAAGAAAGATGAAATAGATTGAGAGAAATATATACATTTCTGGGCCTTTTGGCTAAGATCAAGTGTAGTATCTTTTCTGATCAGTTTAATATCTGATCCGTGACCCATCGGACCACACGATATTAAATGATTTTTTCTGGGCTACGGAGGGGTCATACGGGTAGGCTTGCCTGCTCGACCCCTCCAGCGTTGCATCTGTATTGCAC